GGAGGGAAGGGAGGGGCCGAGGGGGGCGGCGGGCGGGACGAAGCGCCCCCCTCCTCCCCAAACTGGGCGCCTGGCCTCTGGCGCCCTCTGGTGGGGAAGGACGGGGCTTCTTTGCGAGATGGGTGAGCGCGCGGGCCTCCAGTCCCAGGTTCAAATTTCATGTCTCTCTTCTTAACATGGGAATAGTAATAATAAAGCAATAAGACCAATAATAATAATTTTAAAACTTAAGTGAGTTCGTGAAACTCTTCTGCTCACCACCCTCCCTGGCTCTTCTTTCACTCAAAGTAGAAGTCAAAGCCCTCACTGCGCAAGGCTCTGCACCATCTCCGGCTGCCTCTGCGCTCACCTCCTTCTCTCTCCCCCTCGCTTGCTCAGCTCCAGCCACTCTGGCCTCCTCGCTGTTCCTCAAACAACCCTCCAACCTCAGGGCCTTTGCACTCGCTGCTCCTCCACCTGGAACGCTGTCCCCCCAGGGATCTGAGTGGCTCCCTCCTTCCCCTCCTTCAGGTCTCTACCTAAATGTCACCTCTTCAGAGAAGCCTTCCCTGATCTCCCTGTTTTTAATGCAGCACCCACGGTCTATCCATTATCACGGCTTTATTTTCTCCACTGTCTTTATCACCACTTCACATGTTTACATCTCTCTGTTTCAGTGAAGGTCTCCCTCACAAGGACATGAGCCCCATGAGAGCAGGGATTCCAGACTGGGTGGTTCCTTGATGTGTCTTCGTACATGTTGTTGAATTAATCCCTAATCTTTACTGAGGGCTTCCTACCCACAGACACCACTCTAAGCTCTTTGCACATATTAACTCATTGACGTCTCAGAATATCCCTGAGAAGTAGGTGGTGTTTTTCCCATTTCACAGATGACAAAACTGAGACCCAGAGAAGTGAATGCAGAAAACCCAGAGAGATTGTTCAGGGCTTAGCAACATGCCTTGCTCACAGCAGGTGCTTCAGAAACATCAGCTGTAATAATCCAGATCCGTTTTTTTCTCCAGATCCTTGTACCTCACAGACTCAGAACATCCAAGGCCTTCAGCCAAATCCCAGCTCTACTGCTTGCCTGCTGTAGAATCCCTGGGAAGTGACTTTGCCTCTCCAAGCCTCAGCTTCCCCATCTGTAAAATGGGCCTTTGTCCTGGCTTCACAGAACCACTTCCCTTGGGTCTTTTCTCAAATAGAACCTCCTCAGTGAGCCTGACCCTGACACCTGCACCCCTGCCTCCCCGCCATGCCTCTCCCCACTCCCCACTTCCTTTCCCTTCTTAGTGCTCATCACTGTCAGTCAGAATATGTCTGTGACTAATATTTAATCTCCCCCTGCAAGTCTGTCAGCTCTTGAGGGCAGGGACTGAGGTCTCTTCTGTTCACTGTTGTCACCCCAGTGCCTTGAACAGTGCCTGGCACACAGCAGGCGCTCATGAAATATATTTAATTGATTGAATGCAATAATGTATTTGATTGGGGTAAGAAAAATGCTCTAAAATTCACTGTAAGGATGGTTGCACACCTCTGCAAATATGTTAAAAACCATTGACTTGTACACTCAAAGTGAGTGAGTCATATCACCAGCGAAATATCTCAACAAAGCTGATATAGACAGGCGTATGTATATATGATATACACAATGATAGAATATGACCATATATACTGCATAGTGGTATATATGTGTGTAATATACAACATGTGCAGTACTTTACATATTATATATATAAATTATATATTATATAGATACTTTATATAAAATTTATTATAAATATGTAAAAAATCATATATTAATTGTGTATTATATATAAATATTATATGTATTAAATAAAAGGCCAGGAGCTTAGTACTAACCAACATTTACTGCTAGGAACCAGGTCCTATTCTAAAAGCTTGACAAGGACCCCCTGCCCACTAGGAGGCAAGGTCCTGCTATTACTATTTTTATCACTTATCAACCCCATTTCTCAGATGGGAAAGTCGAGGTATGGAGAAGCAGAGTCTCTCTGACCCAAGGAGTGGAAGAATGAGGATTCAAGCCCAGGCTGCTGCCCTGTTTTCATGCCTACCTACTCCAGGGCTTCTCAACCTGCTGTTTCCTTGAGGGTCTTTGAACTGGGATTGGGGACGGGTGACATCTGGATTTTTTTCGCTGAAATTCAGGGTTTCCATCAACCATGCACGTGAGCTGCAAAGCACAACAGCAGCAGCAGGACGTGTGTCACTGTCACAGAGGAATTGCTGATGCTGTCACCACATTGCAATTGTTTTGTAATTTCCAGTGATTGTTTACTCATTGCTGATTAGACCCACACCTAGCTCTTTCTAACCGTGCGTTGATACACCAGCCTCTATTACAGAGCTGTGAATTTTTAAAAATACACTGATAACTATTTCAGTATAATTGGTTCCCTTGCAATCCCAAGGGTTTTATTTTATGCATTCGAAACAGTACAATTGGGCCAGTGGATTGAAAAAGCCCTGAGTCGACACTATTCTGACGCATTAAATATGCTTTGAGTCCTTAATAACAGGGGCAGCTGTCTTATCTCGCTGTCTGCTACTCTCTGAATCTGAGAGTCTCTGAGATCTGTCCCCAGGGTCGTCCCACTTCCCTGATGCCCTTGCAGCCTCTGGAGCCCCCTCCCCAAGGCAGAAGCTCAGTTTTCTCCCCCTAGCTCCCTCCCTCCCCATCTGTCAAAACTGGGTGGAGAAACTGACATATTCTACAACACAGATGAAGACATGATGCCGAAGGAAATAAGCCAGGCACAAGCAAACGAATCTCGTGATTCCACTCATAGGAGACGCTTAGAGTAGTGAAATTCACAGAGACAGAAAGTACAATGGTGATTGAGGGGGGCTGGGTGGAAGAGGAGGCATTGTTTCATGAAGACAGTTTCAGTTTTGCAAGGTGAAATGAGTTCTGAGGCTTGATGGTTGCACGATATAAATGTATTAATACCAATGAACTGGATACTTAGAAGTGATGGTACATAAAATGGTACATTTTATGTTATAGATATTTTTCCACGACTAAAAAAAGAAAAAGCTGGAGAAGGCAGCTGGAGAGCCCAGGAGTTACCTAATGCACTTTGGACACTGTCAGTCTTGGGTTCCAAGCCCGCTGTGACCAGGTGATTTAGGCCCTGAAGTAATTGTCCTGGTCATTTTTCCAGATGGCTCAGTGTATAAAATGGGACCCCACAGGTGCCCATCCAGCTGCTCCAAGCATCTACGAGCGGATATCTAAGAAGATACGTCCTAAAGGCTAACTGTAGGAACTGAGATCAGTCTTGGTTTCCTGCCCAGGAACCCAGGCTGGAGAGATCTCTGGCTCCTGCACAGCCTGCTTGCCCTCTCCCCCGAAGCTGGGTGTGCAGAGGGGAAGATCTGGGCTCACAGCCAGACTGCCTGGCTTGTAGCCCAGTCTGCCACTTAGTGCAAGATGGGGCTATCAATCCCCACACACGGGCTTATGTGAGCACCAAATAAGCTGCCCCCCTTGAAGGGCTGGGAGCATCGCCCCCGGTGAGTGTTCTACAAACGTTAGTCATCATGTTCCTCTTCTCCAGTTGCGTGAAGCCAGCCTTCCAGAACTGAGGACCTGAGCGGGTGGAAATCACTGGCAAACTTCTTTGCGCGGCCACGTGAGGTCTTCCGGGAGCGTGCCGGGACCCGAGGATGTTAAGAGCTGTCATTCTCCTTCAGCGCTTTATTTCGTACATGGGGGAAGTACGTCTAGAGCTAGGAAGAGGGCGGTCCCTCTCCTGGAGATACTATTTATGTGCTCCTCCCTCTCAAACACCCCGAAAGGCCCGCAGAGAAACAGGATGCATCACTCTGGTCCAGCCTCCTGGACTACGGCAGTCGCCTCCTCGCCCTGTCTGTTCCCCGTCGCGTCCGCCAGAGGGCGCCTGGGAAACCTAAGTCGGCTCACAGCCCAGAACCCTCCCCTGGCTCCTGCCTCAAAGTAAGAGCAAAGTCATCATCCTGGAGCTCAGGCGCCTAAAGGACACACCCCTTTTGTTCCCTCCGACCTCACCTCTTGTCTGCACCCCCTTCTTCTCCAGGTTCCAGCCACAGAGCCTCCTTGCTCTTTAACACTCCACGGTATGCTCCTGCCTCAGGGCCTTTGCACTGGCTGTTATCCCTGCCTTGGGTGTTCCACCCCCAGATCGCCCAATGGTTCCCTCCCTCATTTCATGTATATCTCTGCTCAGATTATCACCTCCTCAAAGAAGTCGGCCCTTCCCACCTGGTCCTGAGGGCCTTTACGTGTAGTTGGGCAGGTTGTTCACTGCACAAAGCACTCTCTTGAATGAAGGCGGCTGGAATCCAAGTTGCTCTCCAAACTCCAGGAGAAAGAGGTGCTGTCTTCTAGTTCACACAAAGGGACTAGCAGCTGCTTTGTTCACTCCTCTACCTTGCAATATGGATTGAGTTGTGTCTCCCCAAAAGAGACACCAATGTCCCAACCCCAAGTGGATCACTTGTGAATGTAATCTTCTGTGGAAATAGTCTTTGCTGATGTAATCATGTTAAGACACGCTCATACCGGAGTAGGGTAGGCTATAATCCAATATGGCTGGTGTCCCTTAAGAGAAGACACACCAGTATAGGGGGAAAATGCACTGTGAAGACAGAGGCAGAGATTGGAGTTATGGAGCCACAAGCCAAGGACACTTGGGATTACCAGAGACTGGAAAAGGTAAGGACTGATCCTCCCATAGTATGGCCCTGGTGACATCCTGATTTGGGACATCCAGCCTCTGGAACTGTGAGAGAATCCATTTCTGTTCTTTTAAGCCACCCCTCCCCCTACACCATCGGTGGTACTTTGTCACGCAGCCACTGGAAGCTAACACACAGTGCTTGATTTTCCCTCCCATCTCCAGCTGACACTGTACACACTGACAGTCAATCTTCACTATTTGTGGGTGCTGTATTTGCGAATTTGTCTGCTGGTTAAATTTTATTTGCAGTGCCGAAAACTCTCAAAGCTTTCACAGACATGCGCAAAGCGGCACAGAATTTGAGTTGCCCAACACACACGTTTCCAACTGAGGTCGAACAAGGCAACACCCATCCTGGAAGCGGGTGTCCTTTTGCAGGTCTCTGTAGTGCCACGTTTTCCACCTTTTTGTGCTTCTGTTGATCTCACTGTTTTAAATGGCCCCCATGCCTAGTGCTTCATGCTGTCCCATGTTCCTAAGCACGGGAAGGCTGGAATGTACCTTATGGAGAAACGACGTGTTAGATACGCTTCAGTCAGGCACGGGTTACAGGGTTGTTGGCCATGTGCTCAATGTTGACGAATCAGCACTACATATTAAGTAGGGTGTCTTTAACAGGAACACATATAAAACAAGGTGGCGTGTTGATGGATTGACATAAATGTGACCAGTGGCTGGTAGGAAGCAAGCCCTGTATTTCCCCCAGGAGTGATGGTTCAGTATCCACTAACTGCATGTTCCAAAGACCACAGGGCCTCACCAGGAATGATGCAAATCTCCTGTGTTCGACTTAGCTGTTCACTCTCTACCTCCTCCACTAAAGTCAGCTCTCCCAGCCCAGGGGCTTCTGTCTGCCTTGTTCGGCTGCATCCTTCCCTGTGCCTCGAACAGGGCCTGGCACCCAATAGGTGCTCACAGATACAGGTGAACTAAGCCTTCACAATCCCCTTCCCCACCCACGTGTTGCCCCAACCCCCAGTCTCCGAACAAAGCACTGGGGTCAGGGGGCGTCAGTACAGTTTTAAAAAAAGGATCGTTTTTTAATTTACAAGAGTTCTAAATGTACAGAATTCTCCTTTAAAAAAATCGTTATACACAATAAATACAGTACAAAAAAATTTATCTTACAGTACTAGTTTTGTCTCCAAGATTTCAAAATCTGGCGCGGGTGGCTGGCGGCAGGAAGAACGGAGGGAAGACTGGCGGGGGAGGGGGTGGGAGGAAGACCCCGGTTTCCTGTGTTGGAGGTGCTCAGATTTCAGTTGAGGGACTGGAGGCTTCGAACTCTTTTTCTCTCTCGAGCACACACAAAGGGACAGAGGACATGGAGCGGGACGCACACACATGGATGTGACAAAGGTGCCCGCGGGCACAGCGCCCCCAGGTGGCGGGCCGGGGATGCTGGCTCACGCCGCCCCTTCCCTACGCTTCCTTTCTCAGCCTGTGGGGGGCGGTGGGGAGAGGCTGAGCGCAGCTTCCGAGGACCCGGCCAGCTCGGAGCGCTCGCGACGTGTGGATCCGTGATGCCACACAGACCAGCCCGGTGGGTACCCGGCTATGCGGGAGCAGTGGGGACAACCAGGGAGCCCCCATCCCTGGCGAACACACACGTGTCCCCTGTGGAGGGGCGGAGCAGGTAAATGGGAAGAAATAGGAAATGACACACCAGGATTACCCCCTCCTTTGGCGAGGGGGGGGACATTTTACATTACAGCCCCCTCCCCAAAATCCGTGGCCCCCACCCAACACCCCAGCTGAAGCAGGAGGTGGAGGAGGAGGCCTTTGTGACTCAAATAACTTAGGCAAGAAAAACTCAAGGGGTCCCCGGCTCAAGTCCCCCAGGAGGCTGAGGTCAGACGCCCCGCTGCACCCCCTCCCGGCGTCCTGGCAGGGCGACGGGACGGGGGAGGGAAGACCAGCCCGATGTTATCTGTTCAACGTCCTGGCGCCGAGGCCACCGTTGTGACTGGAGGGCGGGTAGGCCTCTGGCCTGTGCAGGGGCGACCGGGAGGCAGCGGTGACCGCCGTCGGGGCGGCGTGGGAGTAGGGGGGTGCGGGCGTCCGGCCGGGGGCCTGCTGGAGGTTCAGGATGCTGTCGATGGCGCTCTGGAGGTGTTCCGTGAGCGTGTCGTCCTGCGGGCTGTCGCTGGAGAAGCTGGCCTGGTCCACGTCGGGTGACTCAGACTTGCGCCGCTTGGCTGGGGGCAGCGGGGGTGCCTCCCAGCCAGGCTCCCTGCT